GCTCGCTCGCTCTCGCTCGCTCTCGCTCTCTGCCATGGCCGCCTCTAGACTCGCAAGTAGTCCACGTCGCTCTGGCGAGTTTGCAGCCGAGTCAGGCGCAAACTCTGCCTTGGCTTACTGCATACTTCCAAGGACCGGGTCGACGTAGTTGGCGCCGAATGGATAGTGCTATTGTCAGGGAACAAGCGGATTAATTCTACGGTCCCAGATTCGCGACACACGGGAGCGCAGCCGAAGACGTCACGGCATGGCAGAGTCGATAGCGCGTTGCGAAAGCGAGGCCTCGGTAAACACGACCAGGCCTCCTAATTCGAAGTGCGGCATCTCCAAAGAAATGCCGCTTGGCTCCAAACAGCCGTGGCGCTGACACCAGCGCGAACATCGCGCTAGCCCGCGCACAGGCCACGCGCATCGCCAGGGCCCCGTGTGAATCACGGCTGCATGGGCCATGCGGTCGCTTATCGATAAGACAGGGAGCTTGCAAGCTAGACCTCATTGCTGCCACTCTCTGCTCGTCCCTTCGCCTGCCGTGCGCCTTACTCCGCCATGAACCCGTCCGAGCGCACCAAGGAAGCGCTTCTTGGTGAGTGTCTCCAGCCTGCACTGCGCCTGCAATTCCTTGAGTCGCGCACCTGCTGAGCCCGCGCCCAGCCAAGACCGAAGCACTATGTACATCGATTGTGGATAATCGCAAGGACGATCCCTGGGGCGGCGATGGCTACCTGTCCACCATCCTGCGTACGGTCAAGATGCACGAGGCTACCGACTACTCGTCGGTGCACAACAAGACGGAATTCGAGCCTGCCCTCGACTTCTCGACGTCTGCACACAAGGAGCTCTTGATCAAGGAACAGACTGCGGCACTGGTACGTCACATGAGCTTTACCAGTACGCCATTTGGCCGAGCGTTAATACCCCACAGATCAAGACTGCGCAAGACATCTCGACCCTGATCCGCGACTTGCAAGAACTCTGGCTCTTTGGCGGTCTCGACACCCTGGCTGATCCTTCAGACGAAGAAGCAAACCGCAAGAAAGCACTGGCCGTTGCGCAAATGATAGAGTCTTTGGCCAAACAGGCGCCTGCTGGTGCGCCACAGAACGGGACCAGCGCCATAAAGGAAGACACAAATGGCAGATGAGAGCGGTGATCAGATAACGAGTCAACGCTCGGCCGAAAGAGTCAGTGAGGCTTTGTATCCATGTATGTAGCATGCAGCGATTCGAGTATTCGCTCTACCCCTCGACGGACATGTCTGCGAACCATGGAACTGACATGCACCCGTCATCTACTTGCATGAGTCATACTGCATTGTGAACTAGTGCAGGCAACTTGATAGTTTTGCATTGCAATGGCCGTCTTGCCTCGATCGAATAGCAGTTGTTGTGTATAAGTAATTTCAGATGCCCTCATAAGATCTCAGTAGCATCACCAAGACATATCACATTGCACTCAGACAATAGTGCCCAAACCACTAGTGACTGCTCGCCAACTTCCCAGCTCAGTCATACACATGCCGAATCCCCACCAAGTATCAGGAACCATGACATTTGCCATTCATGTACCTGACTAGAATAAAATATATCTCCGTGCGCCACTTACTTACTTGCTTGCTTAGCGTGGACCGCCACACAGCTTTAAATTACATTACATTACATATCACATACTTGGCGCCAAAAAAAGCCCAAAAGCCCAAGAGCCTAAAAGCCGGAAACTATGTATGCTACTACTAGTACAAGTGGTCACTGACTAATGTCAAGTCGCACGTCATGAATCATACTTTGGGCTTTTGGGCTTTGTTATCCTTGACGTCATGTGTTGAGGTCAGCTGGGGCAAAAACTTGAATACTTGCATGTATACATGGTTGGATTTGGGGCACTATTGTATCATATCATAGAAGTATACGCTCAAGTCATGTTGTTCTGTTTCAGGCGTTGAGGCTTATGCATGACATCTGTCTGTACTTGCACCTGCACTTGCAACTTATATATTGTGTGGCTGGTGTGTCTACGGTTGTATGTGTACTTTACAGTGAACTATCGTATTTTTTTTCGCATTCATATATTGTGCCTGTTGTGATGTGGAGACTATCAAGGAGAATGTCTTACGGGTACTGTCGTGATACGTAAGTAGAAGAATTATCATCGCATGCCCATCTCACACTACTTACCACGCACAGCCCCACGCCCATGACCCAGACCCCCCCCCCCACCCCCATATAACCCCCCACAAGCACATCTCGGAACCGCAGT